TAGTGCAAGTGGGAGTTTGTAAGTGTTATGCCCTAGATCCAATCGATTTAGGTTGTAAACGCTTTTAATATATTTAATGCATTTGATTTTGGCTAGATCTATTATTTATTTAAATTAATTTTGTAATAAATAATATTAAATAATAGAATCCGAAGACCCAATTTTTAGGTAATCTGTTAATCAAAAGGAGTTAGTTGTGATTGTGAGATACAAATTACATATAATTGGATCTTGAATAAACCATGGTCGTAAGTAATAACGAGATACGGATATCGTTAATAGAGTTAGACCATCACGTGTGGCATTTCTTACTTATGAAGTAAGTAGCTGATCTCACGAGCTAAAGTGTGGTGACACTTAAATGAACATGTGGATGTTTTGTTGTAGAACAAAACATTGGAGACCCGCTAAGAGATTCCACATGGATAACTATCTGAGTGTCAGTGGCTAATCTCTAACGTTCGGTAGTGGAATTGATCCTTTGACTGTGGCTAATCTCTAACGTTCGGTAGTGGGATTGATCCTTTGACTTGAGGTCGTCATAGTATCCTATATGAGGACAGTCATACTTTGGCGGTGTTGGATGTTGCTCTGAAAAGGGCCGCTAATACGACATCGTTCGGGTACGTCAAGAATCGTATGAAGGTTGTGATTGATCAATGAAGGATTCGTCACTCTTAGATAGTAGAAGATGATCTGCTTTTCATTCAATTAAGTCGATGATGAAATCCTTGGCCAAGGTGTACTCATAAGTCGAAAAGGAGTTTTCGATTTATATTGACTTAATAGTGGAATGAAAGATATGATCGATGATCGAGATTGACACAATTCCATATCATTTAATTAATCGGATCGTATTGACGAAGGGATAATAGTTCCACAGTAAACGAACGAATTTGGTTTTGTCATACCACGTGACATTTCCCGTCACATGTATTGCCCTGACACATTGCTAGATGTCAATCAGGGACGGCGAATGTGAATTGACGATAAATTAAAAGGGTATATTAATTTATCAATTTTGATTAGATCAAAATAATATTTCACGACGTTAGGCATCGTGGTCGGGAACCTAATGGGTCGCACACAAAAGAGAATTGGAAGACTGCAAATTGTCCTTTGATTAATTTAACAATCGTTGAATAAATTAATTAATTGAATTTGTTATTTATAATCCCGAATTAATTAATTGGATTAATTAATTCACGGACCGGGTTTGATTAATTGGATTAATTAAATATTGGACCGGACCGGGCCGGGTCCGTTTGGGTTTATATATATATGTAGCTAGGGTTTGAGGTCCGCAAGTGATTCATTATTCTTGTTAGCACAAGAAAGAAACCCTAGCAGTTGCTGTCTTCTTTTTGTGTGGATTTCATTGGAGGCTGGACAATTGGACAGCTGTGGGAGGCAGATTCAAACTGCTGGAAAGGAATAATGCGAAGGAGTTTGCAAATCACAAGTAAGGATATATTTCTCATCACAGTTTTTATTTAAATACAAAGCTGAATCCTGAATGGGAATTGAAATTTGTTAAATTCCGCTGTGCATGTTTAAGTAAATTCCCAACAGATTGTTCGTCCATCGTCCACTTGTTGCAGGTTATTCCACGACAACTGTGTGGCCATGCTGGTTTTGATGCAACTGACGTTTTGAACAAACTGAGACAGAAACATGCTCTTTCATCTGGTCAGTGCCCATTTTGAATATTTCATACAAGTGCATATATTGCTTTATGGTTCTCTTGGCTTAGGTCAACGAACTGCTTTGACCTCCCATCCATGCAAGTTCATAATCTAGTTTAGGTGTTTTTATGGTGATATTTTCATTTCTCACTTGTTTGTTTTACTATAAACAGGAGAGGGTGCACCCTATGGTGTAGATATCAACACTGGTGGAATTGCTGATTCATTCGCAAACTTTGTCTGGGAGCCAGCAGTCGTAAAGGTACTATCTTATCCCACTCAGTTTTATGCAACATTGTTGTGATTATTAGATGTTTGGATTTAACAACTTCTGTGTTCTCTTCACAGATAAATGCTATAAATGCTGCAACTGAAGCAGCCTGCCTTGTCTTGAGCGTTGATGAAACAGTGAAAAAGCCGAAGGTAAACGTTTTTGAGCTGATGACTTTAATAGTACTATTCCTGTACAATAAGGAGCTTAGGCAAGAAGTACATATGAATTGACTAAACTATATTCTTATGATAAACTCTAAATGAGTGAGAAATTCTACATCTTAATACGCCTCTAGTTAAATGATTCTGGTCTAAACTCATTTTTCACTTCTGGTAATAGCATTCCTTTTTACGTTTCTGAACTCCTGCTGCCTATGATTTCGATCAATGCAGTCTGAGGGTGTGCAGGGAGAAGCTGCTGCAAGAGCTATGGGCAGCAGAGGGCGTGGTGGAGCTGCTTTTCGGGGACGTGGGCGTGGGATGAGGAAGGGATAGGCTCTTTAAAGCTTCTCTTACCCTCTCAACTCATTTCAATTTTGATCTTATCTGTGCATTTGTAAATGCTCTAACTTAAAGCACGTGGAGTGATTCCGGGTGCAAATTGTGATATTATCTTCTGAAATTTTCTGTTGTTTTGCTGTTATATCCTTGTTTGGGCTCCATTAAAATCAGATGTTGGAGAAAAATTGTATTTTGGAATAGTAAATTTTTTAAGAATGTCTCATAAAAAAAAAAAAGTTTTGAATTTACGTGCAATATTACTTTATTAGAGAATGCGTTATTGAAAAGAAAGAGAATTGTATTTTGAATAAAATAGAGTCCAAACAAGTCATTTAGGACCATTAAAAAACATTATTTTGTATATATTATTAATTTATATGCCCTTGTTTGAGTCTCATTTTGGAGGAAGTAATCCATTTTGAATGGTAGATTGATGGAAAATGTGTGATTAAAAATTAAGGAAAAGTTTTAGATTTGTATGTTATATTATTTTAATGAAAAATATATTGTTAAAAATGATTTTTGAAAAAAATTTTTTTTTTTAGAAGAATGTGTCTCAAACAAACAAGAGCTAGATATTAAATTATTGAGGTTCTACGGTAATTCGGTCAATTGCCTTTTGCTCTTTAGTTGTCTTAGGTTGTTAGTAAAATCAAAATGTCTCTCTTCATCCCATAAAAATAGTTTTTTTTTTTTTTTTTTTTTTTGGGTAAATAGCAGAAGATGTTCCTACCTTTCAATGTTACTGTAGAAAACGTCCATACTTTTCATTTTTTTTGGTATTTTTGCTCCTATTTCCACCTTTTATTGTGCAGAAGGTTCTTTTCATATATTTTTGATGATTTTACCTTCCCATTCATATAAAACAGAAAGAAATGAAATGGAAAAATAAAGAACTAATTGTAACTATTGTCTCAAGTTTTCAAAAAATTACAAATCAGTCATTATATTCTTTTCTTGACCTCGCCCTATTCTCTATCCACACCCAAAAATAAACGAACTTTCAAATTTTGAACTTTAACATTTTTAGTGAAATTTTTACATATAAATACATATTCAGAATCCCAAATCTATAAAACTTGACTTCCAATTTTGACCCAAGATCTGGAGTGTATTATTCTGGGTAGAAAATTTTTTGTTTGGATTGTGGGTACAATCCTGGCTACGGGACAGTTAAATTCCCCTCTAAAACTCTAGAATTTTAGTCAGTCTGTCTAATTTTTCTTGTTGAATGCATGCACATTGTAATCCACAAAAAGCAATTTCTTTTTACGCTAAGTCTTTTAAGAGGTTTTCTTGCATTTATATGGCATTATGATATAATAGAAAAGTTTGCAAATGCGAGGATTGGAATCATCGACAATGTCAGGTATACGGACCATCTGACCTATCACGACAAATTAGGGCACTCATACAAATAGATAGGAAAGTAGTAACCTCATCTTTTACAACTTTACATTTATTTTTTTTAGCATTCACTTTCATTGTAAAGGAAGTAGTACTTCTTCATTTACTGCTTTCAGCATTTTCACATGCAACTATGGTATTCCTCCGCTACGAGTGAGGGCATAAAAAATAAAATAAAATGATATAACAGAAAAGTTATGTACTTATACCGTTCAGAGCTTATTTTTTGCTTTTAGGAATGAGCGGTTGTGGTTTATTTAGATTTAAATGAGAGTTTTTGTTATTTTTGGTTTTATGATATGAGATCGTCAATTTTTTCTTTAGTTTTTGTCACTTTTCTTTTAAAAATTTATTTTTGTCGTTTTTTCTGAATATTAGTCACTTTATTAAAAAGTTTCCAAATCCAAATTTACACGCCATTTAATAGAAATAAAATACAATCATAAATAAACAGCATGCAGAAAAATCAACCATTCACTAAATTTATTCTAAGATTTTGATTAGGCCTGGATACGGGTCGGTTCGGTTTTAAAGAGAACCGAACCGAACCAAAAATTTCGGGTATTTAGTAAATAGAACCGTCGGGTCCAAATATAATTGCGAAACCGTTCGGGTTCAATTCGGACCGGATTGGTTTGGTTCTGTACCATAATTAAAATTTTTAATATTTATAACAACACTACATCAATACAACTAATAATAAATACAATCGTAATTTTATAAATTAACATAATCCAATTTAACACGTATATAACAAGTTGTCCAATAAGATTAATTTACCAATCACATATAGGGAAGCTTACACACTACCTTATTCAAATGATCAACGTTCGAAGGTCGCCATCGGAGCCCGAAGGTCATAGCTTCGGACTCAGAGTTGGAGGTTCTATACATTTATTTGAGTTTTGGAATGTCAGATGTGTTATGTGTAGGTGATAATGTGTATAATTTATTTAGGATTAGTCATTAATGGGTTGGATCACTTGGATGTCGGGCTAAAAAATGGAAGAATAAAAACTAAAAATGGCACCTGGGCTAAAAATTAAAAAAATTAGAAATGAAACAAATAGTTGGACCAAAAAATTGGATTTAGAAATTGGCTGGGTTAGGTCAAGCTAGCTAGGCTAGGGTTTAGGAGATAAAGTATCAATTAATCATCTAATTTGTTAATTTGTTTAGAAAAAATTATAATAATTTGATTTATTCAATATAAAAAAAATAAAAATTAGGAATATTCGGTTCTTCGATTCTTGGTCTAGAACCGAGAACCGAACCGTATCCGTCGGTTCTTAATTCAGATACCCGTTCGGGTATTTAATTTGAGAAGAACCGTCTAGTTCGGTTCGATTTGATTTGGGTTTGGTTCGATCGGTTCGGTTCGAGAGATTTGCCCAACTCTAATTTTGATGAGAAATCAATTAATACTTTTTTGAGTGCTTGCCACTTCTTTTTAGTTCTTATCACTTTTAACTTATAGGGCGTTATGTTTCTAAAATGAAGTTATTTTCTATGTTTATTTAATAGAAGTGAAAAATAACGCAATGAGATAACATGTAGAAGAAAATAAAAAATTCCCTAATTCCATTATAAAGTTTTGATTGGTGTTAAATATCATTTGTCACTTTTCGGAGTATTTGCCACTTTTTGAGTATTTGCAACTTTTTTGAGTGCGTGTCACTTTATTGAATTGTATTCATATTTAATGCCACAGGAAGAGATATGAGGCAAATATTATAAACATTATAACAGAAAATGATCGAGTGTCAAATAAAAGGTGTATGTGATATGTTGAGGATGAAGATGTGCCTGATGAGGCAAGGATAACAAGTAATGATATTGAAAATGTTCAATGATAAATGATTTATATATGATTGAGAAGTTCTGACTAATAATGATGGTGTTTATATAATTTTTGGACATATGCATTTTGTAACCTTCTCATTAAAAAGTGACATAGTGTATTGTGCCACTTTTAAATAAATTTTAACACGCAATTAATTTTCAATAGAACAATACATCTTTGGCTAAATTTTTAATTTGCTTCTAAGAATTTATTTAAATGTTAACTAATTTTGTATTGTATTAAATATGAATTAAAATTTTATGATAGAGAAAGTGATATTATATGCTGCATTAATTAAAAAGTGACATACATCACTTTTAATTAAAAACGATGTCACTTTTTAAACAATGTCACTTTTTTATTGTATATCACTTTTTTAATTAAAAAGTTTTACTTAACTTTACACATCATTTTTTACTTTCAAACATTTTTCATATGATTTTTCGAAAGATCCTAATTTTAGGAGTTTTCTATATGCCGCCTTTTAGTCCCCGTTTAGTCTCCATTATCTCAAAAATTTATTCTCCTATCCTACTTTCAATTACACAATCTTTTATAAAATAATATTATACGTAAATCGAACTTTTCATTCTTTCAACCACACGTTATTCAAAAAAAAAAATTACTCTTTCAAAAATTATGACTTCTAAGGCCAAATACAGGGGGCTAGTTTTCTAATATACCCTATTTAATGTCCTCTGTTATTAAAAAGTATGAATAGCTCATATTTAAAACCATTATTTAATTTAAGAGTATATTAATTTCAACTATCTTAACTAAACTTTTTAAATCTGTGTGATGAAAATAAATCTATCTTTATGAAATGGAGGGAATGTTATTTTAAGAAATTTATATAATTAAATTTTGAAATATGTAGATAAATTATTCAATAAACTAATGGATACTATTTTTAGTATATTTTATGTAAATATATTTTTAAAAAATCTTAGCGATTTAAATATGTAATATCAGTGTTCCATTTCTTTTCTATTTAATCTAAATGATAGAATATATCAAAATAAAATTTAAAATTGTTCAGCATAGTAACAGTGCCAATAAGAATTCTTCTAATATTATAAATATTTTAATTAATTTTATTATAGCATCGTCAAATAAGATTAATAGCATAAAATCCCTAGAAACGTTTTCAAGTGCCATATACCTCTACATATTGAAAATCGTAGAAACCCCATATTTAAAACCTTGTGTTTCGAAAAATCCCTCAGTCGTCAAGATCCGTTAGATTTTTCATTAAAAACATTAAAAAATGTCAAAATTAAAAAGGAATAATTACAATTTCAGACATAAACTTTTTTTTTTTACAAATTAAATCCAATTTTTTTTATATGTGTTACCTACCAGCCCACATCTTTAAAACTTTATTTTCACCCCACCCGACTTTTAGGTATTTTATTCTTCCCGACACCAAAGACGGACTTCCAACTTTAGTAGAAAAAATTGGCTCCGAATCTGAATTCTTAGATAATCAGAATTCACCTCCCGTATGAACAAGAGGAAATGGGTGCACCTCGTATTCCAAAATTCAAGACATCTTTTGGCAGATTCATAATGCCCTCTCTGGTTAATTAAAGCATCCAACCATACAAGCTATCAACTTCCATCCGACTTTCAAGCCAAAATAGCGAACTAGCGAACACTTTTCTTGCTGACAATCCCACTTCCGGCGACACCCATGGTCGCACACCACCATCAGCGGTTAGCCCTGATCTAGAAAACCCTAAAA